AATGATTACGCTTAGCTAGAAGTAAGGTTAAACTTCATGAAAGGCTTCTCTGAGCAAATCTTTGCCTAAACTGCTTTTCAGAACAGCCCAACACAATGACTGCCATTCAGCTGACAGACGCAAGTAAACAACAATGGTTTTGGTGTATTGAGCATGTTACCGTGGGAAAGAAACAACCTGTCTTGGGAAACAAGTTAAAAGTCATAGGTGGAAAAAGAATTGATTAGACAGCGACAGGACTAAAAATTACAGATTCTATAAAGGGCATGAATGGTTTGTGTTACACACACAGTAAGAAGGGCTTTCCTGTCAAATGAGCAGGCAGCCCCAGAAGCAAAGAAAATACTTTACAATACCAAATTAGAAAGATTTGCTGTCGGATGATGTCATGGGGCTAGACACAGACTCAAAAGAGGATTAAACAAATCAATGGAGGACAGATCCATTATTGATTATGAAGCAGGATGGCCCCAAATCCAGCTTGGGCTAAGAGCAGCCATTAACTGCTGACTGTCAAAAGAAGGGGGGATCCCTCCATACCCATCTTTTCCCTTGTAATTTTGTCCCCAACATCTGCTACATGTGATCAGACACAGTACATTGCACAAGACAGACCAATATAGTCTGATCCACTGTCTTTTTTCTTGCTCTCACAGGAGACTGTAGCCACAATCTTTTTTGCATGACTACTAAAAAATGTTCAACACGGCATAGACCTGTAATTTCTTTCCCTAAGATGTCTCCCAGGCTGAACACACATCCTCACACTACAGTCAGTCTACCCACCTTACAGGACAATGGACTGTTCTCATGACACAGCCACCACAACAAAGCCAAGACAGAAAATAATTACACAGGGTCTGAGCTTGTGCTGAGACCACAACAGGACAAGGAGATGTCACCAGGGGAGTCCTGGGTGGCCTGAGGATCAGAGGGGATGGTGAGACTGTGACAATCCTCCCAAGCAGAACCGGAACTCTCCCCCAGCAGCCTTCCTCCAACAAAAACGAAAACTCTATGTCCAAGAACCTGACTCTACCCACACATTAGTTGCAAAGGATAAAAAAATTTGACCATTTTTGTTTCCACTGAACAGCTAAGCCTTTATTTGCTTTAAAGCACAGCATCTGAGAGGAGGGGATCAGAAACGGTGGCAATCGTACAGTAATTCATGAGAAATAGAACTATCAGTAACGGCACGAGCCTAAGCCTGGAGTGCCCTCTAGGGGTAAAAGCCCGGTGAGCCACATACCCCGAACTACTTCCTGCGGAGAAGTCCTGGATCAAACCACACCTTTCCTTAACGAAGTCCTGGTGAGGATTCATTTAGCCTATATTTGCCGGGACAAAAAAAGAATGATATATCCACGGTTGTCTGAGTTCTCCTTCTCTTTGTCCTAGTTTCCCTCTGATCCACAAGGCTGCTGCCCGAGTTTCAGACGGCCTTGCTTTGTGAAAATGTCTTTCTCATCCATTAACAGTGACCAAGCAATGCTGAGATAGGGAGTCCTTGACATTACAATAATAATCACATAACAAAGACAATTTACAAGACTGAGCACACGCCTAAACTTTGACCCAAACACCTCCCCATTGCAAAGCCTGGCTCTGATGGTCACCTGAGTAAAGCAGGCAGCATGTTGGGTTCTGCAAGCCCTTGCTTGCAGGAGCAAGTCCAAAGCTTTGCTCACGTAGGGCCAGGTAGCTGGAGGAAGGGGAGACTGAGGACTGCTTAACAAAACTCTCCTCCAACACAATATACTTCTGTGAGCAGACATCTATCAGCCCTATGGGCCAAAAAGCCATGACTGAATGCAACCAGCTTTGTTACCCTGCTCTCAGAGCTTAAACAGGACCTGCTAGTTTCCTAATTCTGGCTGCCTGCCCCCTCCCCACTTGGATTCCCATGGAACAGACAAATGAAGCCACATGTGCTGAAAAAATATTCCCGGAGGGAGCAAATGGGAGAGGACTCAGCTACCAGAGAACAGTAAATAGGCTAAAAAGGGGTAAATTTCACACAGGGCAAAATTAAGCAGACAGCTGAGCTTCTCTCTTTGCATGTGTCCCTCTGTCCCCAGGACTGAAACAATGCTGGTGGTTTATGTCCTACTGTGTTTGCCTTCATGCCATTACCAACGTGTCTGGGAGCAAGAGTTATAACCCTTCTGTTGTAACCGTAGAACAAAATGTTCATGATAAAGATGGCTGATCTTCCTTTTAGTCTTTGAATCAACAAGCAGAAGCATTTTCAGAAGCTGCATAAATATAACTGGAAAGCAAATTTTGCAGCTGCTTGTGTATCTATACTAGCAAGTCAATTTAGGGAGTCACATTTACTCAGCCAAGGACAAGAAATGCCACGTGGCTTGTGTGTGCAGTCACAAATAAACAACTTGAACCTGGGATATCAATGTTGATAATGAACTGCTTCCTAAAGGACAAGGATTATTTACAGGTATTATTTGGTGAAAAATTTCAGCACTATCAGTTTTAAGAATGCTGCAGACAAATTCTAAACAGAATGAGAGCAACAGATAGAACTAACTTCAGTATTTTTGAGAGGAGATGTTTCCACTATGGTTTTTAATTCCAGTGAAGTCTGGAAAAATGACTCTGAAACAAAACATAGGCAAACCCCAACCCAAACACATCACACAAAGCTCTGAGTCAGAGACAACTAGCCCTTCCTTCCTAGCAGAAGGAAAGGATATGGACACCAACTCACTTTGTGCAACAGGTTACACTGAGTACACAGTTCCTGGAAGCAGCACATGCCTAAAGCTATGTCCTGTCAGGTGCTGCTAAATAGCTGGATCTTGTCCCCATGCTCTTCCTGTCCAAGTAACATCCCCAGCATCAGATCACAAGAAAATTCTCAGTTGCCAACAGAGCTCCATTCCTGAGCTATCATCATAAACTTCTGACCTTCCATAATAAATGTGCTAAAAATGTGCCTTCATACTAAGTACTGTGACACATCAAATAAAGTTTTCCCAGAGAGATGAGGTTTGAGTTAAGCTGTTTATGCTTTTTTGCACCAGGGTATGTTAAGTGGTTCCAAACACAGCATGTTAGACAGGACTGCATTTTATTTTGGGCCAGTGGAGATGCTTTTACCAAAATCACACATGTGGGCACAATTAACAGCGTTCTCAGGCATTAGCCACCCTGGCTTCCACTCCACACAATAGGCCTTTGTTTGAAGCCTGGCACTTCATGGAAAGAATTAGAGCGCAGCACCAGAGGAAGCCTTGCCAGCAGATGTTCTGACTTGCAGACATGCAAGTTCTCCCTGGTTTTAACGCTCACTTTGCATCCACAAATTATGGAGAGTTAGAGATTGGAAACACTCTTGAATCAACTGGAGCAGAAATACTGTTGACAATAACAAAGCTAACCATCACTGGGCTCTAACTGGCAAAACTATTCCTTAGAGCCCTATCTCCAAACTTAATCACCACAGAGCGATCAAACCCAGATGCAACAGAGAGCTCACACCTTCTCTGGACACAAGTGTCACCACGATGAATTAGGGCCCAGCAGGCTCTCAGTGAGATGCTGCTGAATGCCCCACACCAAAACAAACCTGGTTCTGAATATTCTTCTACAGGCTGAGATTAGATGATCTCTAAGTGGTAGTTGTGCTGATTCCCACTAAATTGCCTGGAATCTTCTCACAGATTTCAGTAGCACCATCTTCTTCAGAGGGCACAAGGGAAGCGTAAGCTGCCTTTGTGTAATAAAAGGTGTCAGATGAGGATTCTGTAGACTGCATCCTCTCTTAAGTGAGCTGCTGCTTTCTTCATACATTCTTAATGCTAACCCTTCCCCAGAAAAAGCAAAGGTGGTCCTCCCACGTCCACAGCCCACTCAGCCCTGGCATCACTTCTGACACTGGCAGTAGGGGACATTCTGTCTGAACAATCCTTTCCGTTCTTTCTACAGCGTGGGCCCCTACTTACAGAGACCTAAGCAGAAGGCCAGCATAGTACAAGTCACCAAGCAGCAGGCAAATGATTGAAGAAATTACTGTCAGACTGAAAACAGGTTTAAGCTTCTGAGACCCCTAAATGGACAAGCTGTGGAGACCATTTCATCCCCAGAAGTTAACACAGGCTTCAAAAGCAAACAAATTCCCAGAAGAAAAAAAAAAAAGAACCACCAACCCAAAACAAAAAAAACCCACCTTACTAAACCTAACACCTCCTGAGGACTAGTAAACAGAAAGACTTCCTAGCTAGGATGGTCCATGAACTGAAAGCTAGGCTACTGTCAGGGAAAGCATTACCATGGAGTTCTGGGTTTTTCCCCTTTCCTGGGGAAAACAGTTTTACCTTGATCATGTATAGCTGTCCTTTACATTCTTATAACTGATACTCATATTTAACTCCAGCCCAGGTCAGAACTTACCCATAATTTTTCAGTGTTAGTTTTGTTACAGCTCAGGAAACACCCCTTCAGTTGCCAGTGTTTGTCTAGAAACCACTGCGGAGTCATCAGACAGGTGGTAGGTGCCATCTCCTACCAGCCTGCACTGGTTTAGTCTGCACATGGACAAACAAGCTCCCCAGAGTCCATTACCATTTTCCACTATCACAGGATTTTGCTAACAGTATTTGGACAACTTTGAGATTCTTGTCCTTGTATTAAAGTACTCAGCCACTGAGACATAGCAGTATAGGTTCTGAACTTCTAGGAGTCATTATTATAGCAGAAATAAGGAAAGAAGGCCAAGTCCTTCCATCAATGGAGTTGTATCTCCGAGTAATTAAGTGATACGCTAGCTTGCAACATCTCTTGCTCTGAGCCAGCAGGCAAAGTTCACCAGCATCAGTTCCAGATCATAAGCTTAGAATCCCCTTGTGTTCTAGAAGTGATCTGACCTCATCACTACAACCTCACGATATGCAGGGCACCTTCATAATCATGCTGTGATTGTATTGTATGATGTAATTCACAGAATCAAGCCCACCCCGCCACGTTCTCCACATTCATACCTCTGTTTCAGGCCGAGGAATAAATACTGGGGGTCTCATCTTCAGTGTCAGGTCCTGAAAATCCCACTCGCCAAGCACATACTGCACCGGCATTCTGTGGCAGGCAAAAGCAAGTGTGAACACTTTAGGACTACACTCTACAACACAGAAAATCTCTCAATACCACGCTTACCTCATTACTAACCAGATAACCCTGTCTGGGTGAGCAACCCAGACACCCCTAAGGCTCTCAACCACCCACGCAACGTGCATGTGCACTCTAAGGGAGCTGTGCGAGCTCCATTTCCACAAAAGAGTTTGCAAACAAGCACTGGGCTCGGGCAACTACAGGCCAGTCAGCCTCATCATGATACTGGGGAAAGCGATGGAACAAATAGTCTTAGAGATTGTTTCCAGACAAAGTACAGGAAGGTGACTGGAGTAGTCAGCATGGATTTACAAAGGGGAAATCATTCCTGGCCAACCTGACAGACGTATCTTCATGACATATCCTCACTCACGACACAGTGACTAGCTTGGTACATGGGGAGAGAGTAATCAATACTGTGTATTTTGACTTTCCTTATGGTTTTGATACTGTCTCCCATAGCATACTCATATACAAACTGATGAAGTATGAACTAGATAAATGAGGTGGACTGAAAATTGACTGAACTGGCAGGCTTGGAGGGCCATGTGCAGTGCACAAAGTTCAGCTGAATGCCAACGACTAGTGCATTGCCCCTGGAGTCAACAGTGGGGCCAATACAGCACATCTTCAGCAGTGATTTGGATGAAGGGCCAGAGAGCACCCTTGGCATGTCTGCAGATGACAGAAAACTGGGAGGAGTGGTTAACAGGCCAGATGGGTGTGTGACTTTTCAGAGGGACCTCAGGAGGCTTGAGAAATAGGCTGTCAGGAACCTCATGAAATCCAGCAAAAAGTAACATGAAGTCCTATAAACTGGGGAAGAATAACCCCATGCACCAGTACAGGCTGAGGGCCAACCAGCTGGACAGAAAAGAGGGCTGAGGGCCAACCAGCCTTGCAGAAAAGGCCCTGGGGAGCCAGTGGACAAGCCGACCATGAGCCAGCAGTGTGCCCTTGCAGCGAAGGCCAATGGCTCCCTGAGCTGCATTAGGCAGAGTGTTGCCAGAAGGTCGAGTGAGGGGATCCTTCCCCTCTACTCAGCACTGGAAGGAAACATCTGCAGTGCTGGACTCCCAGTACAGGGAGAGACATGGGACATACTGGAGTAAGTCCAACAAATGACCATTAAGAGGATTATGGGATTGAAGCATCTGACATACAAGGAGAGAGACTGAGAGCTGGGATGGTTTAGCCTTGAGAAGGGAAGGCTCAGGCTGAGGGGTCAGGGGAAGGAAATCTCATTAATAACCATATGTATGTGGTGAGATGCAGTGAAGACGACGGAGCCTGACTCTTTTCAGTGGTATCCAGTGAAAAGACAGGCGAAGAGCACAGACTGAAATACAGAAAATTCCATCTAAACCTAAGAACCACCCCTTTTTTTTTTTTTTTTTTTTAAAACACTGTGAGGGTAGTCAAACACTGGAACAGGCTGTCCAGAGAGACTGTATAGTATTTGTCTTTGGATATATTAAAAGCTGAATTGGGCATGGCTCTGAGCAACTTGCTCTAGTTGATCCTGCTTTGAGCAGGAATGGTGGACTAAATTTCCAGAGGTCCCCATCAACCTCCATGATTACATGATTCTATGAATTTTGGGGCCATGTTTTCAGCTGCTGCGAGGCATCATACCTCACTTCTTCATGTAGAACAGCAGATATTTGTTGCAACCTTAACAGCACTTAAGACAGAGCAACTTGAAAGTCAAACAGCTCTGGGAATTTTGCATTTCTGCTCCTAACACAGGACTCAAAAGCAGCAGGAAAGTTTCAGGGAAGACACTCGGATCCTACAAACAGTAACCACTGCTAACACACTGACTCCCTGAAAAACCCTCACAACCTATTCTGCGTAAGACAAAGCAGGATTAATCTGCACAGCAAAATGAGGATCCACATCATAAACACACCCATGTAAACAAGCAGGAAGATGCTACCTCCAAACATAGTCCCAAGCATCTCCCAACCTTCTAAATGATCCAAGTTCCTGAATACTTCCTCTCCCCACACACTACTCCCCAGGTCCAGCCTGATTACAGGTAGCTCCTTCACACCAAACCCATTTCATTTTTGCACTAAGAGAATCCCTTACGCAGAGCAAGCAAATGGAAGCCAAATGGAGACCAAAGCTACAGCAATCAAGGATAATTCTAAACACCAGGGAAATCCCTCTGCTGGGAAAGCCTAGAAAGCAATGCACAGCAACACACAGACCAGTATAGGACTGGCAGCTCAAGAGAGTGCTGAATCAGACAGAAGGGGCCAAAGTTAAATTTTGTAAGCACAGAAGGGCTTAATGAAAGTGTACCCAACTCAGAGTCAGTACTGCCAGTTAAACCCTCTTTGCTCCCAGACAGGACAGACAGGTGATTTGCTAACCGACAATAGCAAATGCCCATCACCTGAGTCACCATGAGAGACACAGCACTGCTACTTGACATGTCAGCTGCTAATGGTCCCCTACTTTCTCTCTGCCACCATTCTTCTGGCCGCTTTAAGACTGAAGGAAAGCTCGCCAAAGGAACGACTATAAGATGATGCTCTTACCTTTCTAGTCGCTTGTTGCTCAGCTGCTGGATTTGCTCCTGATGCACTGCTGTAAGTGGAGTGCAGAGGCTTTTGGAATTCAAGCTCTGAAACTGAAGACAAGTTCACTTTAAAACCTATGCACTTGGGTGTCCCTTGCACCCTCCCAAGGGCATCCTCCAGGGAGACCCCAGCATGCTGACAAACACATGTGCCTGGGACTGCTAGAAACCACAATTAGGAGAACCTATCTGCATGTTTAAAGACAAAGCTATACAACTGCTCTTCTGCCTCTTTTCAGGGTTTGAAAGAATAGGTTAAATTAAGAACCATTCCACCAGGCAAGTGAGGGTACAGCATGGGTATGTGTCATTGTGTTAGACTTCAGTCTCTGCAAAAGAGGACATTTAAGAGACCCCAAGTATTCTACCAGCATTGATAAACTATGCCTCACTATCTCTGCCATTCAAGGAAGGAAAAGTTGTTCTACTTCCTATGAGTGAGATAAAAAGAACGCAAGAGATTCAATCAAAATGACAAAAGTGAGAGGCATACACAGATCTTATTGTTTCCTATTACTTAACTGTTTTTGCTCCCAGGACAAATGACACAATATATTCACTGGATTCTCGTGCTTCAGGAATCCCATTTGTCTCAAACACCTTCTGCCAGTAGTTGACCACATCAGTGGCAGTCACAAGCCCAGGTCTTGCACTGCAGCTCTGCCGCAAGGGTGACTGCTTTGGACTGAGGATAGGACCTTTACTTTGACTCAATCGCCCTGGCACACACAGAGGTGAGCGACCCAACAACCTCCTGAGCAGCTGGTGGGTGAGGCATCTCATTGTTGTGAAATCAGTTGCTGGCTTCCACATGTGTTCCTTGTTACTATCAGCTGATCTAGTCAGTGCTGAGACTCACAGGACACTTGGTGCTACAAGCCACTGTGGCTAAGCACCAGCTGACCACAGCCAGTGGATTCTCCTCAGGGCAGCATGAAAATGGCAGTGGTTTGCAGCTCTTCTGGTCTAGAAAAGAAGGGAAGAGTACAGCCTGAATCCCTTGGGCTAGCAAATCACAGGTTCCCCTCTGACAGAATGCAGACTGCTTGCCCTAATCCCAGCCCAGAGGTACAAAACCAACTACTCACACCTTGAGAGTAACAGAGGATCACCCCAAGAAAAGACTCAGGTGACAGGTAACACCTCTGCCACTGCAACCCATTTCTTCGCAGAGCTGCCCATCTCCACAGGCCAGAGCTACTGGACAGCCAGTCCGTGCCCATGGCAGGGCAGAAGCAAGCATGCCTACACACAGGCACAGCACTCCTGCCTGTCCTTGGTCTTAGAAAGCCAGACAAAGCAATCTTTAGCTTCAGCCCTTGGATCTCCATCCCATGGGCAGGTCACACTGGTTCCCTACAAGAAGACCTTCAACCTTCTCTTAATTTCTTTTATTCTTCTCTCTTTTCATAAAATCACAAGGCCTAGGTTAGTGGGTGTGCTCACAGAAGATCCTGACTCCATGGGTTAAGGATCTTCCACACTCGCACCATCTCCAGAGAGCAGACAAGGGGCCACAGAGCTACTAAGAGCAGAGGAAGGAGAAAAACCCCTAAGGTACAACTAAAGGGAAGAGAAACAGTTGAAAGATGCGAAGGCCAGAAAAGGAAAACCCTGCCAGAGGGAAATCAGTCTCTCAAAGGAGAGAACAGGCAGAGCCAGGCACAGGGGGAAGAAAAACAAACAAGATGACTGCAGGAGACAAAGGGAATGAAACTTTACAAAACAGCTGCTGCATATCACACTTGGAACTGTGTGAGACAAACAGAACAACAATCCCACTTTCCTGCTGTGATCCATCAGAGATGAGGGCCCCCCTCCCTCCTGACTCACAGTCCCTGGAGCCACTGTGGGTTTCCCAGAGCACCCATTCCATTCCTCTATTGATGGCTGCTTTTCATCACTGTCTCAGAGGCCACAACCTCCCCCTCCAATTCCTCCAGAAAACCACCACACAAACAAAATACCTCTCTGCAGCAGCTGGCAGCACCCAGGGTGGGTGGCTCTCCGCACTGTAGGAGTGCTGCTGCAGGGAGATCGGAGTCAGCTCCCACCTGGGTTCACTGAAGCCCCACTGCAGCCCTGGACCCTGCTGCACCGGGCACCCTCACAGGCAGCAGCATGGGGCCTGCCCTGCTCTTGCTGCACGGTGAAACTGTGGGAAGTCAGGCCTCAACTGCCCTCCTTTGCAAAATCAAACCAAACAGAGCCCAGGGAAGCAGCAGAGGGAATACCCTGTGGCAAAGATCTCATGACTGGCTTACCTCCTAGCAAAAGGGTTGGTGCTCTAAGAGCCCAAGGATCCTCTTCTTACCACCTTCCTTACCCCCAGCAGAGAGATGAACTGCCCCTATGGAAACCTGCCTTTATCTTATGCATAAGCAGTCTGACAGCTACAGTCTTTACCCAAGCAGCTCCTCACCCTAAAGACCTGTTTTGGGGATACTGGCACAAGAAGAACACTGAAGGAATAAAACATTAACCATTAGTGTTCTTAGGGAAGCAGATAAGACTAATGGGCCATGGCTGGAACAATGATTTCACTAACTGTCATTATTAAGAAAGGAGAGCAGCTACTGATGTGAAGTCCCTGCCAAGAACAGTCCCTTCATGCTACTTCTTGGTGCAAATACCTGTTTGCACACAGGTGGGAAATACTTTTTTTTTCCTGCAGTTCTGTTGTTTGGTCCATTCAACCCCCGGTTCCCCACTCACTGCAGTCACCGCTGGCTGCCGAAGGGCACGGCCTGTCCCGCTCTCCGTCTCTGCCCCACGCTCCCTGGCTCACCCGCCGGCTCGGTCAGGAGCTGGGCCTGGCACCACCCCAGTCCAACCTTTCCGAGCTGTGCTGGCGGTCAGTCCCGCCGGCCGAGCCGGCAGGATGTAGCGGGGGGGTACAAGTCCCCATTTGCCAGCCAGGGAGCTGCCCCCCGCCTCATCTCCGTGACCGGGCGGCTCTCCGGCGGTACAGGAGCCCCGCAGAGTCCCGCCGGGACCAGAGTCCGGCCTTCCCTGCATACGCCATACCCTGGCCAATGCC